TGAGATGGTGGCATCTACATTAAGGATGGCTCTTTTCATGGCAGTTAACCTAATCCAAGAACTCTGTCACAACATGTCCTTAGGTTTGTCTCCTGGGTGATTCTAGATTCTATCAAGTTGAAATTTAATATCAACCATGCCAGGACCTAAGACTGAATATTTATACAAAAGAAAGGATTATTCGTGTTACAGTTTTGGAAGCTGAAAGTCCAAACATGGATCCCCATTTCCTTAGCTTCTGATGAGGACCCTTAGTCATATTACCGTTCAGTTCAGTGGCTCATAGTGGGAGTGTGTGCAAGAAGAAGGGATTGCCCAGTGAAACAGGAAGCCAGAGGGAGTCAGGGATCAGACCCATTCTTTCATACCAATCCACTAGAGGAAGTTCATTCCTGTAGACCAGCAATAATCACTCCCAAGGGCCATGATTTCTCAGACCTTCTCACCTCCCACTAGATCTCACCTCATAGCTTCTCCCACCTCTTGCTCTCTTCACACTGGGGACCAAGCTTCAAACACTTGACCCTTGGCAGAACAATCCACACCCAACCCACAGCAGGTGGGTAGCAAACAGATCTTGTTTTGTGCAAGGTTTGGAGAGCTTTTTGTTTGGTTACATAATTAGATCTGGGCACTGACAATGTGAGGCATCATGAGTGTCCTCTTTTGTGAGGGTTTAGGTCTACCAGTTCTTTTCTGTAGCTCTGTAGCTCCAAATTCCTAGCAGTGTGTGTGAACACATATGTGCCTGTCTAAAAGAGTCAAAAGTTCAGGGGTTGGAGAGATGGCTCAGCAGTTAGGAGCACTGGCTGCTCTTCCAGAGGGTCTGGGTTCAATTCCCAGCACCCACATGGCAGCTCACAACTGTCTGTGACTCTAGTTCCAGAGGATCTGACACCCTCACACAGCCATATATGTGCAGGTAAAAAAGTTCTAGCCATTTCTACTGCCTAGTCCTAGTAAGCCTTTGTCAAATGGCTCTTTGGTGACAGTTCAGGGTGGGGAGTAGTTCGTGTTCAACAAATGGAAGTGATTGGCCTCCCGATTTCTCAACAACAGTTGTTTTTTGTGGTTATAAAGATGTGAATGAGCCAGGCAGTGGTGGTGCACACCTTTAATCCCAGCACTTGGGAGGCAGAGGCAGGCAGATCTCTTTGAGTTTGAGGCTGGCCTGGTCTACAAAGAGAGTTACAGGACAGCCAGGACTGTTATACAGAGAAACCCTGTCTCAAAAAATAAATAAATAAATAAATAAATAAATAAATAGAGATGCGAATGAGGTGTGGGGATATATTTCAGTGGCCAACTGCTTGTCTAGTACGTGTGAGGCCCTAACCCACAGAACCAATAACTCCTGTCCTCGAAGTGAAGTGCAGGGTGAGAAGCAATGCAAATTAGAAAGAGCTGTCTATGCACATTCATAATAAATACCAGAACTTCACGGGTCTTTGTCCAATTCAGACTTTGGTTTATTTGGTTTTAAAATGTCAACCACCTCGGTGCATCTGCTTGGCCACTGATACTTTGTGCCTTTGATCAAATCTGTACCTCAAGGGAAGTTACTAGACATAGCCAGGAGTGTGCATGGGAAGTCTCTAGTGCTGAAACAGTAGCAACAGTGACATGCCCTCAGTGCTCTCCCTGCTGGTCTCAGAAGAGGCTGATCTGGACCAGGAGGAGGCAAGAGAAAAGAAGGAAAGATCAACAATGTTACTTCAAACCACTGAGCCAACGGGGTGCTGAAGCCCTCTTTCTAGTGAGCATGAACATGTGTGTAAGGGTCTGTTTCTAAGCTCTGACTCAACTCTTCCCCCAACACAGGCTGCAGGATGAGGAGGCCAGGCTGGGTGTGCGGCATGTGTGTATGTGTGTGGAGTAGGCTCTACAGAGAAGGTGGGTGTTGGCTCCACCCTTCCCTTTCTTTAGGCTCACTTGGCATGATCAGGGAATCATGTCTTGCTAGATCTAGGCCATACCCACCCACCTCTTGCTAATAACAATCTGTGGGCTTTGCTAGGTCTTCCTTCCTTCCTTCCTTCCTTAGTATTACCATCCGTGATGCTGATAAAAAGGTACAACCAAAAGCCGGGCAGTGGTGGTGCATGTCTTTATCCCAGCACTCAGGAGGCAGAGGCAGGCAGATCTCTGTGAGTTTGAGGCCAGCCTGGTCTATACAGAGTGAGATCCAGGACAGGCACCAAAAACTACACAGAGAAACCCTGTCTTGAAAAAACAAAAACAAAATCACCATGGCGACAGGCATATGTGATTTTGCCCGACCTCTTACCTCCATTCAGTCTCTTTAGCTCTCAAATCATGGTTGAGTGGGCCAAGAGGAATCCATCATCAGTCCTAGGTTGGCAAGTAGCCCCTGACTGGCTTTGGAATGAGAAGTGACCCTATTAGAGCTATAGAGATGACTACTGTCTTTGTTGGGACCCTTGGCCAGAATGATTGATGCTTCCTATAGGACTCTACCAAAGACACATGATGGTGGCTGGGGATCTGTTAGTGTTCGTGTCTTTTTCTTTCTTTCTTTCTTTCTTTCTTTCTTTCTTTCTTTCTTTCTTTCTTTCTTTCTTTCTTTCTTTCTTTCTTTCTTTCTTTTTTTTATAATTCTTTGGGGTGTCTGTGTCCCTGTGTGTCTCTGTCCACCCGTATGACTGTATGTGAATGTGTGCATGTCTGTGTATGCACAGAGGCCAGAGAGAACAACATCCTTTATCCATCATTAGAGATCCTCCAATCCATTCTTTTGAAGCAATGTCTCTCCCTGAACCTGATACTCATGTTTTCTTAACCGGTCTAGAGTCCCAGTGATCCTCTTGTCTCTGCTCACCTCTGATCCAAGGTTATAGGTATGTACAGGGTGCCCAGCCTCTTACATGGGTGCAGAGACCTGAAGTCCAGTCCTCATGCTGAGCAGCAAGTGTTCTTAGCCTCTGAGCCATCACTCCAGTCCTAGTGTCTTAGTGTAGGAATGACAACAGGCATGAGTGTGACAGGCTGCCTGAGACACAACCGGAGGTCAGGCAGTAAGTAGTAGCCTCACTGTATCATTTTTTCCTTATCTAAAAACATCTGAACTCTGAAATGCATCTGATTTGCCAAGTTTCAAGATAAGCATCTGTATAGGCTTGCAGCATCCTCAATTCAAGTGTAAATCATCTTATTTAAAATCCCTTAGAATTCCACGTTTATGGTTTCCTTGAAGAGATGGATGGTCCGTCATTGTCCTGCAGAGCCATCGGGAGGCACCCCTAAGATGGCAATTGCCTGTCACTGAGATGCCCTCACACACTACATGAGACCTGTCCCTCTGCATCTGGCTGGACAATCCTGCATCAGTTAGGAGAGCGTACTTGACCTTCCTCTTTTCACAGGCCGACAGGCTACAAAGTGTCCTAAAGAGCTGCCATTCCTTGATACCACTGTTTCTGGCCTCTTGTTCTCCCCCTAAGCCCTGACACCACCTCCCTTTGTACCTGCTGGGGTGGGGGTAGGGTCCCAGGGCCCTCTTCTGATACCACAATCCATGGATGCTCAAGCCCCTTTTATAAAATGACTCAAGATTAGTTTACAGTCTACACACATCTTCTCATATGCTTTATTTCATGCCGAACACAATAGAAATGCTCTGCACAAGATCCCTGTACTGTGCTGTTTGGGGAATAATAACAAGAGAAAGCCTGCACGTCGTCAGGACAGGTACAGTTCTGTTGATAATGTTTTCAAACCACAGTGGTTGCGTCAATGGAAGCTGAACCATTGGTAAAGAAGGCCAAGCATGCTGACCATGGCTGTCAGACTACATGCATCAGTGGTTCCCACAACAGCCTGGGGGAAAGCCACTCTGTTTTCAGGTGAGGCGTCAGAGGGTGTAGCATGTCATGGGTCTTACCCAAGGCCACACCCTTAGGAAGAGCTGGGTTTGGACCAAAGCCATTGCAAGTTTCCCTTGACCTTTATCTCTAGGTCAATGCTCAGAGGTGGCTGAATCATAGACCTGTTTGGTGCAGTTTTGATCGGAGAGAGATAGGAATAATGAGAAGGAAGGGGCTGAATTCTGGGAGGCCGAAACTTTCAGGCAACTGAGAAGCTCTGAGGGGAGGCCTTCAGACCCTTTGGCCCATCACTCTTATTAGCTCCACCAGGAAAGTAGAAGAGTCAGATTCAAGGACACACAGGTAGGTTTGTGTCCAAAGGAAAAGGTCACCACAGTAGTTTGAGAATCAGATTCTGGAAACTACTTCAGGCTTTTCCATGTGTCCATGGCCCCACACCCTGCAATGTTCACTCACTTGCTTAGCCACAGGGAAGTTCTGGCCCAAAACCTGGGGCGTTTGTTCTCCGTGCCCACCATGTCTCATCTCCCTCATGTCCCCTCGGTGACCTCTCCATTCTCCCCTTCTTCCAACCTTAACAAGCAAAAAAATCAGCTCTCCTGTCAGGTTGTCATATGGGGCTGGGAGAGGGTTAAACTCTTCTGAAAAAGAAAAGGAGTCTGGGCAGGAGGGAAAGTTTAAAAAAGAGGCAAGATTTGAAGTACCTGTTGAAATGGAGCTTCTGGTCTCCAGCACACCTCAGCGGGAATGGTGGGTTCTGTGCAAGCAAATCCATTTTGTTTTCCTGGGAGGAAATGATGATTAAATTATCAGAAACCAAGCTAAAAACAGAGCTGCCTGCATGTTCCCCCACCACCCCAGGGTCCCCCTCACCTCCTGCTTATGAGGCGCCCGGCCTTATCTCCAAGCTTTACTTTAAATGTCCAGCACATCTTATTAATGAAAGTAATAAGCTGCTGTTTATTACATGTCATAATGGGGGAATATGACTATTTAATATAAATCTGACATTTAAATTCCACTTAGTTCTGAGATGTGGACGGTATCAAGGCATAACTCTTTACCCTGGAGTAAAAACTCTCTGGCTCTGCATTTTACAGCATGGAAGTTTTCAAAGTAATCAGGTTCTCTCTCTCTCTCTTTTCCCTTTTCCAGAGAAACCAAATTGTGAAGACATCTGTTCTGTTATTAATTTCACATAAATCTTAAGCTCCTCAAGGCCAGAAATGAGGCTTCATTCACGTCGAATTAATGAAACATGATTGTAAGTCCCTTGCATGGAAATGCTGTCACACAGTCTTGAGCCGCTTATAAGCGCCGAGTAATCTCGGGGAACCGCCAGGGGACAGCCACTTGAAACCGGTCCTCCCCTCCCCCAGCCCCAGAAAACAATGTCTGAAAATATCACAACACTAACTATGTCCTGAAAGATTACTAGCAGATGAGAATTTCTGGGAAATGAATCAGAGTTTCTCAGTAAAGGATACGAATATCTCAGGCGAAAGCAGATTGCGCAATCCACAAGCTCTGTGGATACAGTTTAATAAGGGCGCCTCGGGCAGCCCTGGGATACACCCGCCAGGAAGGGGCCTGGAATTTCTTGCAGGGAATCTCTTTGAAAGTGGATGTTAGAGAATGTGTTACATGTGACATAGATTTGAAACTGGAAACCTTGATCAGCCAGAGTCTGATGGAGGTGTTGGTGTGTTTGTGTATCCAAAAGTCTATACGCAAATGTATAACCTCGCTTGCATAAGCATGGGATTTTGTACGTATATGGGATTACAATGTGTTTTGTGAATTTGTATATTTGTATATATGAAAGAATGTGAGTTTTGTGTGTATAATGTATATGATTTTGTGTGTGAGCATTATGAAAGTGTGTCTGTGCGCGCG